TCCATTCTAACAGATCCACCGATGTCCCCCCTCTCCTTAGATGTATCCGGATCGGGTAGCAATCCTTCTACCTTTAAATTAGGGAAGTCCTCTAACAACCCTCACATTCTATCATATTCCAATTCTTTTCTCTTTCCCCCTTTTTCTCGTCCTTCCTTCCTTCCTTTCTCCTGTCATCAGTATACTGAATTGTCTCCTCCTGCCTTCATCCCCTGTTGCCTCCTCCCACACTGGTAAAATTAACTCCTTCCCTCTTTTTCCTTCTCTCTCTTCCACCAGACAAATCTCAATCTTTTCCCTCTTTCCCTTTGATTCCTTTTCTTTCTCCTCCTCTACATCTAGCTCTTCATTTTCTATTTCATGCCTCTATTCCTCCTTTCATCTCAGGAGTTTCTAGTTGAGAGGACGGCTCACTCTGTTCTTTCTCCTTTTTCTCTACAGCTCCTTCACAGGCAATTTTTGCCCCCTAGTTTCCTCAGAGATATTAATCTGTAATGTGAGAGCTTTGAATCTTATTGTCATGAGTTCAGCTGAAGAAGATCTGGAATCCGAGGGGTTAATTACAGCTGAGGAAAATGCTGGGCAATTAGAATCACAGACAGCTGAATCACCACCAGATTCTCCTCCCCCACTAGCCAGAGTGAGGGACAACGGCAGGGACTCATAACACGAAGGTCGGAAGCACGCATGAATGCTTCCCACAGGAACATCACGTTGACCAGCCCTGAGTTTTAGCAGGATTGAGTGTTTTCTAGAAATTAGATGACTGTTGCTGCTATATAATCTGTACCCAGCGGGTTGGAAGCAGCAAGTCAATTCTCTGGCTAGCATCAATGCTCCTGCTTATCTCAAACCATGCTCTCTTGACCCTTGGCTTTGGACTCTCTTCTGACTACGGTTTGTGTTTTGGCTTTGGCAATTTGTTATCTGTTTTGTATCCCGGACTTCTGACTTTGGACTCACTTATTGGACTTTCGCCTGCTGTATGCCCTGGAAACGTGACAATTATCCATTGTGCTGATTACATGGCAGATATTGCAATTACACAAATCTATTCTTCAGTAGAAAACAGCCTAACCCTAACCTCTCTGCTGATCCAATTAATGTATTTCACCATTCTAGACTGGGGATTCTAACCATCTTTCCTTTTGGGACCAGCATATGAAGTTCTCATGTAATTATTTAGAATTTGATAAATAAACCCCCTTTGCCATAATCTTGCCATCCCATCCATGCCTTTCCCATTGAGCAAGGGTAGAAATCAGTTATATTTCTTATCTCTGTAGGATGCAGCCGAACCAAGATGATTCACTCCAACAATGTTTGCTCTTCAAAAAAACTCTGCTGTCCATCTGGAAGATGGTGGCTGGTCACAGGTGTGTTACTGAGATTCCGGGTGTGTGTGTGCCAGTTTGCTATGCATAATCATGTAAAGAGCTGATATGGTCCATGCTATATCTTCATCATATCTCTTTGAAGAGACACAAGCTTTTATACACTTGATTTGGACAACAGCTGTTCCATTTGCTGACCCTCCAACCTCCTCCTTCATTATTAGAATGTTTTCATTTTTATTGGTGAACTTGTGCATAGCGCTGCCACTGTGCACCTGTCCACCCTCCTTTAAGGGAGGAAATCAACACTCTCCTCAAAAAGTCGGCCATAACCCGGGTATTTCCAAATCCTTCAGATCCCGGTTTCTTCTCCAGGTATTTCTTAGTTCCAAAAAAGGACGACTCCTTTCGTCCTATTCTGGACCTCAGACGCCTCAAGTTCATAGCCTATCGTCGTTTCAGGATGGTGACTTTGGAGAGAATTCTTCCGCTCCTTCAACAGGGCGACTGGTTCGTGGTGATAGACGTCAGCGACGCCTATTTTCATATAAACATCAGGCAGGATCATCGCCGTTTCCTGCGTTTTTCGCTGGGACCAAAATGCTACAAATTCTCCGCTCTGCCTTTTGGGCTTTCCACCGCGCCACGAGTCTTTACGAAATGTATGGCGCCAGTAGCAGCGTTCCTTTGGACGAAGGGAATCGCCATTTTTCCATATATAGACGACTGGCTTTTGGTGGCTCACTCCAAACGTCAAGCCGAGCGGCACACCATCACTGTTCTCCGTCTCCTCAGAACTCTGGGTGTCAATGTGACTTACAGAAAGTCAGTTCTTATTTCCTTGCCAGTTGCATCGTACATCGGCGCTATACTGGATGATCGGGTCGCAAGAGCCTTCATGCCCCTAGAAAGGGCCGAGAAAATTGCTGCTCTTGTCAAGCGGTTTCGACTGCAGGGTTGGGTAACGGCGCATCTCGCTCAAAAGCTACTGGACCTTATGGCTTCTACAACGTCGGTTATTCCTCACGCGAGGCTGAAGCTTCGATCTCTCCAAGTGTGGCTCCTCTCACTTTTCAGCCCATTGACGGACTCTCCCAAGAAACATCTGCTGGTGATACAGGAACTTTATTGGCAGCTAAAGTGGTGGACCAATCCCTTAACGTTGACGACGAGGATCACAACATCAGCCCACTGACAGACTCTCCCAAGAAACGTCTGCTAGTAACACAGGAACTTTACTGGCAGCTGAAGTGGTGGACCAATCCAGCCAATCTCTTTATGGGTCGCCTGTTCGCTCCCTTGACTTTGACGACCAGAATCACAACGGATGCGAGCAACACTGGCTGGGGTACGCACTGCAACCGTCTGCAGATCCACGATCTGTGGTCCCGCGAGGAGCAGGACCTTCACATCAACAATCTGGAACTACTGGCCGTATTCAAGGCCTGTCGAGCGTTTCTACCTCTCATCCAGGGCACAGCCCTTCAGATTGTCACGGACAACACAACAGCTGCTGCATATATCAACAAGCAGGGTGGCACCCATTCACGCTCACTCCTATATCTCACTGTCCAGTTTTGGGAGTGGTGCCTCGACCATCATATTTTTCCGTCTGCGGTGTACATTTCCACTCACGAGAACATACTTGCAGATCGACTCAGCAGGACCGCTGCGTTAATGCACGAGTGGACGCTCGACCAGCAGGTCTTTCTAGCTCTCTGCGCGAGATGGGGTGCCCCGGTAATAGATGCCTTCGCCACTCACCTCAACGCGAAGTGCCCAGCCTACTTCTTGAGAGGTGGTCGAGGTCCACACTCTCAAGGCGATGCGCTAATGAGCTCCTGGAGGGACCATCTGATCTACATGTTCCCACCGTTCCCAGTGTTGATGAGGGTGATAGTGAAGATCTGCGTAGACAACACCGACACCATACTGATAGCGCCCTTCTGGCCATGCCAGCCGTGGTTTGCGAGGCTCATGACCAGAGCGAAGGAATTCATGAGACTGCCTTACCTGCTGCACCTTCTGACACAGAACGAAGGGACAACCTTTCATCCAGACGTACAGTCCCTCCATCTCACAGCCTGGAGGATACTCCCGAGGTAACCTACGTTCTCTCACATTGTCGCAAGGCATCTACAGATACCCTTTATAGTAACAAATGGGTGTCTTTCCAAAAGTTTGCCTCACCTCGTGGACTCCCAGTATCACCAACCTCTCTTCAAGCTGTTCTACAATTTTTGGCGTATTTATTTGAGATGAACCTGTCGCATTCTACTCTCAAGGTTTATCTCTCTGCTATTGTGGCGCATCAGCCTCCTGACTCTGACAGTGCTCTTCTCTTTAGGCACACAAAGGTGACGCGTTTTCTGAAGGGGGCCCTCAACCTTCATCCCCCTCGGACTAATCCTGTTCCTCAATGGTCCCTGCATACGGTGTTGAACTGCCTCACCCGCTCACCGTTTGAACCATTGGCGACCGTCTCCGACCGCTTACTCACATTAAAGGTCGTCTTTTTGGCTATAACTTCGGCTCGGAGAGCCTCGGAACTGGCCGCTCTACGAGTTGATCCCCCTTTCCTGCAGTTTTTCCAAGACAAGGTGGTGTTATACCCTGACGTGTCCTTTCTACCAAAGGTCACCACTGACTTTCATGTTCGGCAACCTATTGTGCTACCTACCTTTTTTTCCTCACCTTTCTCCTGTTGAGAAGTCTCTGCATTTGCTCGATGTTCGCCGAGCGTTGGCCTTCTATGTACAAAGGCCTNTCAGTCATTCTGAGCGAGGATAAGGATGTTGTCATGAAGTCCTATGATTCACCAAATTGGATAAAGTGCATGAGAAAGCCTGGCTAGTCGTCTTCATCCTGTCTGGCATTTTCCCTCTAGATACAGTGGCCCTTTCCTGAAGGCTGTTTCAGAGAAGCAGGCTCCTGGTTACAAAGATGTGGTGAAAAGGTCAGTTGGGAAGCAAGCAGGAGAACCGGTGTGGAGTAGAATTCGCAATATGTTTCCTCTCCCTTTTTCTTTTCTTTTGTTTTAAAGTAATTGGTCTGTATTTTGTAGTACTCATTGTAAATGTTCCTTTTGAGGAACCAGCACAGACTGGTTCCGAATTGCTTCTCACCCCAAACAGGAAATGTCCCCCTCTGCTTCTATGGTTGACAGCAGAAACCTCCAAAATCCTTAAGAACTATTCACAGAACCACTTCAGAGCACCATGGTCTTCAGCCTGTGGCAATCCATCACATGCCTGATTTGACTTTCAAACAATGTTCAGGTGTATTTGTTTCCCTGCTCTTTGCAACTTTGGCTGAAAGGCAGATACTGTATCACGAGGGAAGACGATCAGTCTACTGAGGGGTGGCATACCACCACAAGCAGGCTTTTAAGTGCTATCACACACTGGCACAGGCAAAACAACAGAATATATACTGGACTGCTCTCAGTTGACTGCTCCTCTCCCACTGTAGTGCTCCTTTTGTTCTTGTGGGTAGCAGTGAGTGATAAAAGCTTTGTCAGCAAGGGGCTCAAATCATGAGAATCATCCCAGCTCTTGGTCTGGATTTGATTTAAATTACTTATCAGAAAGATCTCAGACCTTTGTACAATGTATTCTTTTAATTCCTCACTCCACCCCTCCCAAAAGGCCACTCTTTATTTGCTATAACCTTAATAGATATTTTCATAGTATGTATTTTTCACAGAGATTCCCTCTGTGCTGTAGTGGATAGAGTGATGGACTAGGGCTCTGGAGAACGGGGTTTGAATCCTCTCTTGGCCATGAAAACTCACTGGGGAGTGGAACTGGTAAAAAGCACTCCTTAAAAACATCACACTTACTTTGAAAGCTCTGTTCGGGTTGCTATAAGTCAGTGCCAGCTTAACAGCACAGAACATACACACACAGTTTTCACAGCCTCCTTGCCCAGACTGAGGGTCCAGTCAGATGATGGGGAAATATGTTTTTTCTGATTGCACTAGAAAGGGTCACTTTGTTAGGAGCAATCTCCCTTAAAGTCACTCTACCGTCTGTGGAGAAATTGTTCCACAGACAGCAGACGGCAATTTGTTCCTGAATTAAAAAGGTCCACTATAGGCACAGGTCAGAGTCAGGCAGCTTTGTGATCTCATGTACATTTTGTGATTGCCAGGGAATAGGTTGCACCAGACAGTGCTACATGCAGTCCAAAAATGCAAACTGTTTCCCTCTCTGATCGCACCCTGACTTCCCCCCCCCCAATTAGTCCTCTATTCATTGAAACTTTCAGCATCTGAAAGTGAGCATGGAGAATGTGAAAAATATGTATTGTGAAACACACCCACACTTATATCTGCACCAGTGTTACAGGAGTACACTTGTGGATGGAGGAATCACATGATTAAATCCAAATTCACTCTGTTCCTCACCAAAGTGCACTTTTAGAGAGAGATAAGGACTCACATTGCCTATGAAGTTGCAAAGGGACAATAACTAGGTTGCCACTCTAAAGGCATCAGTTGAAACCAGTCCTGGAAATTTAATACAGCTTCGAAGAATTTCCCACATTATATCATGTTAAAAGAAGAAAGGGAAACGTTCCAAGAATAACATCAGTCAGAGTTGGCAAGTAAGGCTGATCAAGCCTGTTATTTTTAATTTCCATATATTGCTGTTAGCAAGTACGTACCTTTGGAGGCACAACGTCAGTTTGGGAACTGCAACTATTTCTGGCTTCTTACAGACTGAGAATTAAAGCAGATAGAAAAATTAACCTAAATATAGAAGCCTGTGGAACCCCATAAAATTGAGGCCCTAATCCAAGAACTGATGGACGCTGCTTACAAGACATTAAAAGTTTATATCAGTACATTGTCCAAAATCCAGAATTAGAATTTATAATCCCTATTCCATGAAGAAACCTTTGCTCCATAACACATTTTAAAATAAAGTGTCATTACATAGGGCTTATTTTGTAATGAAAAGAAGAAGAGAAGCATTGATTATTCTCCACTTTGTCAATTTCCTCCCTCCACCCCCCTGCCCTTCTCAGAAGCTTGGACCACCATTACTTTTTTCCCCAGGTTGCACTTGCAAATGTTTTCTGTCTCCATGAGATTATCTTTCCAGGCCAAGAACTAAAAGCTACTCTGCATGGTTCACTGTTCGGCTCTAGTCCCCTGCTGCTTCTTTCCACACATTTCCTTGGAAGTTCTGAACATTCCACTGACTTCAGTGGAGCTTGCTTGCTATTAAATCTTTGTATCACAGCCTTAATCAGAATATGAGTGATAACTGGGCCTCATTGCTTTAGTCATCTAAAGCTCTCGCTCTCTCTTTATATATTTGTCTCGTATCTGTTTGATTCATGCTGGCTAGTAGGTTGAGACAGCATGTTGTTCAGCTGGAAGTCTGAGAGGTATCTGAGAGCTCAGGAAAAGCAGGCTTTTCTATAAATGACTATAAACCAGTCTTCCCTAGCCTGGCATCCTCCAGTGTTGGACTACAACTCTTGTCCTCATCAGCATTGCTAGCGAAGTGATGAAAGTCATGGTCTAACACATCTGGAGAGCACCAGGATGAGGGAAGCTGCCACAAAACCACTATGTTTCACTTCCTCTTGCTTTCTGAAGGCCAGTAGACCTTTCTTCCATCAAGAGGCGTATCTCCAAAGGCCAGATTCAAAATATGGTCCAGTTCCAGCAGGATCTCATGTTGATGTTCCAGAATGCCATCATGTACAATAATTCCAACCACCACATACACCGCATTGCGATGGAGATGCAGCAAGAAGTCTTAGAGCAGCTCCAGATGCTGGGTGAGGCTCTCCTGTGCACAGAAGAAATGCAAGGCTTTGTGAGAAGGTGAGAGGCTTGTGTTTGGAAGGGGAGAATAACATCGCTAGTAGAGCCATGTTCTCCTAGCCTTAAGATCAAAGCTGGGCTATGTTCCAGCCATTTTCTCACAGGATCTCCATAGGCATCCTGTTTATGTCTCTGAAATATGAAAAGTACACATATTAGTTAAGATGAAGGTCTCTTCCTTCCATAGCTTCTTTCCCATTCATGAAAGAAGTCTGTTATTTCTGGTGTAAACTGTATCAGTCTTCATTTTCACGCAACCCCTGGTGAGGTTTCTACAAGCGTGTATGGAAGCTGCTCAGGGACAGGGCACCTTGGAAATTTGGGAGATTTATTGCTTTTCTCTCCTTTATAGGTGTTGAGGAGCCTGATAAATGAGGCCAGTCCAGGGCACAGAAGATGGAAACCTATTGCCTTGCCTCTCCCTCTATGGAAAAAGTTGCTTGTTTATTAGAGTTAGTTGTTTAATATCCTACTTCTTCCCTTCCATAAGTTGCCAATGATTTTAAATGTTTCCCATGTTTTTTGGCACTCCTATTTGTGTCTGGAAGTTACTGCTTTCCTAGACTCTATGGGTACTATACTTGCATTGCTTATTCCTGGGAAAAAACAGTATCTTCTTAGCTGAAGCTTAGTGGCTAAGAAATGAAGAGAAAGAATGGATCATAGCATTAAGCTAAAGCTTGTCTATTAACATATCTATTAACATGCATTCAGCTTTTGAGCACTAAATGTCCACAAGAGAAAGAAGAATGTACATGTTCACAAAATAAATGTTATGTTGACTTACGACTGCTCAAGAACTTTTCTGTTGTATATTCCCAAGGGATGTTGGCTGCTGTTTCTAAATCTGAGTTAGCATTCAGCTTAGGAAACAATCACTTATCTGCAGGAATTGTTTGGGCTTGGCCTTGTCATCTGTATTTGACAGCCCTTTCTACATGACATTGTTGTCCTGTTCATATCCCAAGATGTTCTATCTTTTTCCAAAACAAGAGCATTTGATTCTTTTTGTGACATCCAGTAATATCCAGTAGGGTATAGAATACTAACTGTAAAAAATAATCCTGCTAGCACTTTAATATTTGTTTGTTTGTTTGTTTGTTTGACTTGTATGTCACCCGCACTCTGCAAGAGTCCCCGGGCGGCTTCCAACATCAATTAAAACAGTTAGACACACTAAAAACCAATATGGTTACCTCTATACTTTACAAAAGCAAAAATAAAAGCAAAAACAATCTAGATCCATGACTTTATCAATTAAAATTAAAACCTTCAATTAAAAAAAAGCTTCCGGAACAGGAAGGTTTTAACTTTGACAAACCATATGACAAAGCAATGACCATAGAGAACCAAGAGGCCACCTTCCAGAAACATTTGTGATAGCCCCCAATTTTTCCCCCCACAAGGATTACAGTATAACTGTGTGACATCAAGTCAATTAACACTTATGGCAATCCTTTCCAAGGTTTTCTAAGTATAGGGTACTCAGAAGAGGTCTGGAGATGTCTTGGGTCTGTGTAGTTTGTCCAAGGCTATACAGGCTAGCTGTTCTCTGAGAAAGCACAGTGGAAGATTGAAACCTCAGGCTCTGCCTCCACAGCCAGGTACTCCATTCATTGAGCTATCCAGTCAGCTCCACAGGAATTTGTTGTTGTTACGTGCCATCAAGTCACCTCCAATCCATAGCAACCCATTAAATTAGCAGTTTCCAAAATGTCAACAACCCTGCTCAGCTCTTGTAAACGCAAGGTTGTGGTTTCCTTTCAGGAGTCAGTCCATCCTGTATTTGATCTTCCTCCTTTCCTGTCGCCTTCAACCTTTCTCAGCATTATTTTTTCCAAAGAATCTTGCCTTCTCATGATATGCCCAAAGTAGCACAGCCTCAGTTTCAACATTTTTGCCTCCCGAAACAGTTCAGGCTTGATTTGCTCTAGGACCCATGTGTTCGTCTTTCTGGCAGTCCGGGTATCCACAAGGCTGTCCTCCAGCACCACATTTCAAATGAATCAATTGTTTTTGTCAACTTTCTTTACAGTACTGTACAGCTTTCACACCCATATATAGTGATCAATCCGGAATACAATACAATGGATTATCTTGGTCTTGTTCTTCAGTCACATGTCCTTACATTTTTTTTCCTAATTCTTTCATTGCTGCCCTACTGAGTCTTAGTCTTTTGTTGACCGTAGACTCTGTTTGGATTGATGGCTCGACCAAGATATACAAAATCTTTCACTATTTCAATTTCTTCATTGTCAACCCAAAGTCTTTTTTTTTCTGTAGTCCTGATTTTTATCTCCTTCATGTTCAAATGCAGTTCTTCTTTGGCACGTTCTTCTTTCACTTTCACTAAAAGCCAAGTTGTTGCTCCTTTCTGCCAGTAAGATGGTGTCATCTGCATGTCTTAAATTAGTGTTTCTTTCTTCCACCAATTTTTAGTTCTCGTTCTTCTGAATCTAGTCCAGGTTTTCTTATGATCTGTTCCGGGTACAGATTGAGCAGATAAGGGGATAAAAGGCAAAATTGTCTGACACCTTTTTTCTTTTATTAATAAAAAGGAAAGTTACAAATAACAGAAATAAAATTAAAATACAAGCTTAGTAGTGACTACACACAATACACAATAAATGTTTCCCAATAATATCAATTTGTACCACTTTTCACCCCATTCATCTCCAAAAATACAGTACTGTACATTAATTCCTCTGCTGGCATATAGCCTTTCTCCTTCAAAAAGACATATTCCAAGTATAAATTCTGTACATCTTTGAAATAATTAGACTTTACCATTCCTCCTCTTATTTTCATTTCACATGTTAACTTGTTAATTGCTAAAGTCCAGATTTCTTTATACCAATCTTCAAGATCAATATGTTTGTTGATTTTCTAATTCTTTGCAAATATTAATCTTTCTGTTGTAGCCATTATAACAACTAACTCTTTCTGATCTTTTTTCAAATGATAATTCTTAATTATGTTCAGTAGGTCAATAATTAGCCATATCTCAATATCACATCCAATAATTTTCCTAATTTCTTTAAAAACCAGCGCCCTTTCTTTTTTTTCTTATTTCACACGTCCACTACATATACATATAGGTCCCTTTTTCCTTTTTGCATCTCCAGCATTGAGATGGTATATTTCTATTTATTATATTCCATCTCAATGAAGTTAAATACTGTACCATCTCCATGCTACCTTATAACAATTTTCTTTTATCCTTACAGAGATATTCTTCATTATTCTTTGTGACCATATTCCAATCTTCTCCTTAAATCTCTTCCTCAAAGTCTTCCTGCCGGTGGTTTTTCATACAGAGATGATCGAGCCCTGAATGTACTAAACATTTATACATTACACTAACTATTCCCTTCCTTTTACTTACTTCTTCTTTATCTTGTATTTGTTCAATAATCTCCTCAAATTTTGTCAGTTTTCTAGTTTCTCCTTCTTTTGTCTTGTCCAACTTTCCATTTGGAGTATATTTAGCAAAGATATTCCCTCTTCTTCCCCCAAAGTTTCCTTTATAGTATTTTTACCTTTTTCATCCAATTCTTTATTGTATTTAACTCTTTCTCTATTAATACTTCTTTAAGTTTATTTTTAAGAGTTTTAGGGAAGTTCTGGACTTCCACTACTTGTAATAATGATGAAATAGGTGGACTCAATAGATATCTGTAATTATTCCAGCACTCTGTCGTATTCATCAGAAAGGGGTTAGTTATTCTCTTGATTTCTTATACAATTTTTTTCCTTAAAGAAGCTGCCTTCCATTCCGTCATTCTATCTGACACCTTTTTCTGTAGGAAACCATTCTTGTCTCTCCACAATATAAGTTAGGCCTCAGAGCAAAGTGCTGAGGCACACCCATTTCTTTCCGAACAACCCATAGTTTCGCATGATCCACAAAGTTGAAGGCTTTGTTTTATTCTATAAAGCATAGACTAATCATCTGAAATGCTTTAATGTGCAGTGGATATTTGCAATGTGATCTCGGGTGCATCCATCTTTTTGGAATCCAGTTTGAACATCAGGGATTTCTCACTCTGTATAAGGTAAACACCTTTTTTTGCAACACCTTGAACATCACACTGTTTGCATAGGAAATTAGAGCAATGATCCTGCAGTTACTACAGTCTTTCGCATCTCCTTTCTTGGCAGTTGGAATGTATATTGAGTATAGATAGGGGTGTCAGAACCACTTCTCCATAAAGAGACAGTGTCTTGGGCGATGAGTCACTGTAGGCACAAGTGAGTGGTCAGTCTGGCCCCAGGGGGGCTGGGCCCTCATTATCTGCACCTGTGGGGGGGTGCCCATCTCAAATATTGAGTGGTTCTGGTCTGTGGGCCATTGTTTGGTTTTCCATATTTGTTGACAATACTCATTAGGATTTTAACAGATTCAGTATCAGTTGCTCGAAATAGTTCTCAGTATTCCATCTATACCTATTTCTTCTTCAAGCTTTCAGAGCAACTTTTACTTCTCTTTCTAGAACAGCAGGTCCTTTGCAGGATTCCTCTTCAAAGGAGTCAGTCATCTATTTGTCTCTTCAGTATATTGTTTTCACCTTCTCTTTCTTTTTTTCCTGGTCAGATACTATGCTTACCTGTTGCTCTTGGTTGCTCTTGCATTATTCCTAATCTAGGCTTAAATTTCCCTTTGATTTCTTGGATCTTCTGAAATAAATTTCTTGTTTTTCCCCTTTTGTTATTCTCATCTATTTCTTTTTACTGGTTATTATAATAGTTGCCTTTATCTGTATATGCCAGTTGCTGAAAAGCTGCATAAGGGTTCTGAACCTGTTTCTGTTGCTTTTTATTTTTGCTTCTCGCCTGTGTTTTATAATGTTAAGTGTTTATGCAGAACTGCGAGTTGTTCTCCTGCACTATTCATGTCCCTTAGAACAAATTTTCCAACAACATTTGGTTGTACTTTGTTTCCTACTTTTGCCTCTTAATCACCTATTGTTAAGCATGTCTTGTTTTGATATGTTATCAATTTCCTTCCGGATGCTTGCATAAAAGCTTTCAGTTTAATATTCTTCAGCGTCTGCAATTGGAGCACCAATCTGAATGATGGTTATGCTGATAATTTTTCTACAGAGTCTAGTTGGTTTTATTTGGTCAGACTTCGCATTATAGCCCCTAACTGCCTGTGCTGTATCTTTCCTCAGTATTTGAGCAACTCCATTTCTTCTGAGTATGTCATTCCTCACTATGGAATCTCAGGTGGCGTCTGTGGTCCGTTCCGCCTTTTTTCACCTTAGGCGGATAGCCCAGCTGCGGTCCTACCTTGATGTTGGGGCGCTCACTACCTTGGTGCATGCGCTCGTAATCTCAAGATTAGACCACTGTAATGCGCTCTACATGGGGCTGACTTTGAGGCTGCTGCGGAAACTACAGGTGGTGCAGAATGCGGCAGCCAGGCTACTTAGTGGAGTGAAAAAAGACCAACATATCTCACCCACTCTGGCTGCATTGCATTGGTTGCCCATCCGGTTCCGCATCGACTTCAAAGTGTTGATGCTTACTTATAAAGCCCTAAACGGTTTAGGGCCTCGATACTTGGCAGAACGCCTATTCCCACCAAGATCTACCCGTATCACTCGTGCGAGCCAGGAGGGGAGGCTGAGGAGCCTAACGCCAAGGGAGGCCCAGAAGGTAAAGACAAGAAATCGGGCCTTCTCGGCAGTGGCTCCTCGCCTTTGGACAACTTACCTCCTGAGATTC